CCTCGGCCTCCCAGAGTGCTGGGAGTACAGACAGGCTTGAGCTACCGCGCCTGGCCACAGTCTTTACTCCGTTCCTTTTAATCTTTTTCTTTCTCCTTCCGTGCTCCCCCTCCCCTTTTTTCTGGCTGCTGCTTCTTCTTCTTCTTCTTCTTCTTCTTCTTCTTCTTCTTCTTCTTCTTCTTCTTCTTCTTTTTTTTAACCATGAGATGATATCGTTAAATAGTTGATGCTGAGAATTTATGAGGAGATCTGGATCAGAAAAATGTACTCTCCTGTGAGTAAGGTAGTGAGGTATTCTTCAGTTTATGACATACTCCAAAAACATGAGCAAGCTTACCAAAGGTTTTGTAACTGAAGAATCTATTACAAGTAATCAGTTTTATATTTAGCTTTGAATTATACATACACACACCCACATATACACAAATATATTTTTAAGTAACTTAGATCATCAACATTTCAATCTGAGCATTATATGAGTAGTATTGTTTCTATCTTCACTGTCTTGTGAGATAACTAGTGACGTATTTTCTAAAACAAGGAGATCAATTAACGTAATTGACATTTGCAGATTTGAATCAATGATGCTGCTCAATCCAATCAAACAAAGTAAAGAAAGCTAGTTCATGGTTTTCTTAGAGCCAGAAGAAGAAACTTGCAAAAGAGTTTTCTCATTGTGTTCCTTTCTCCTTTAAATCAATTCTCAGTTATTACAGGAAAGAAAGGAGAGAAGACTGTACATTATGTTCAGGCTCACAACAAAAAGGGTAAATGAACAAAAAATTACTAAAGTAATTTTCAAGAGAAAATTTCTCCAGAGGGGAAAACACATTATAAAACCTTTTGCTGGAGTGAGGATCAGAATGGAAGGTGCCAATTGGATTAAACTGTTAGAACAAAACAGTTTAATCTGGGATTTTGTTTTAATCCCACTGTCTTGAATATAGACTAGTCATGGAGCTCCCTTTCCACAGGTCTACATGGGATGTTCAGATCTGTCCTCATCAATGCCACAGACATTTCGAGAGGACTTTTGAGACCAAATGGAGGGTGACACAGAATTCCTTGGGGATAATGGGAGTGTCCAGTGCACTTTCTTATTTAAAGATCAGTGAAAAATACTCAATAGCATGGGAACTAAGAGGAAAATATGAAGCATAATGGTGTTTGGTCAGTGGAGCAAAGGATTTGTAGTGGTGAAAAAAATAGATAAATTATTTTAATTGAATCAAAGTTTATACCGTTGAAGAGCAAACACCACCCTGCAGCAAAACCTGGAAAACAGCAGAAGCATCTCTGCTCAAGGCAACCTCTCGTAGCACAATTGAGGCTTAGACAGGATTTCAATTGTGATTTTTGTTGGCTTAGTTTTGACCTGAACAAAATGGATTTGCTGTTTTTGTTTCTTTCTTCTTTTTATTCAAATGGTACACCCTTTTGTTTTGAGAAATCTGGTGGTTATCTCCTAGTTAGAACCAAGACTAATGAAGTACTCTTTCCAATCATGCTGGATTCTTACCAAGGACCTCAAAAGAGACTAAACTTAAAAGACAAAGATGATTGTCAAGTGGGCTATGGATTAGGGTCTGATTTTTTTGGTGAGAGTTCAATGAACATAGTTTAGGCAAAGGTAGATTCAATAAGGCAGAAAGGAAGAAATGAAGCATGCTTCTGGGGAATAAACGGCAAAGCAAACACAAGAACTCACTAAACAAGAAGCCAATGTGCAACTCAGAACCAATATCTGATATATAATTTAAGACTCAAAGGTCACTTAATATCAACTCTATTGCTACACACATACACCCAAAGAATCTGGCTAGCAATTGTTTTAGAGCTTGCCTTAGCTGTTTTTCTTTCATGCAAGTGTTTCTCTGGAGGTACAAAAAATGTAAGAGTAAAACTGGATTTATCAAAGCATTAGCTTGGATTAATTAGGTAATAAAAGCATTTTCAAATTGCTAATTTACTAAGCAGTGTCACCGGAATGCTGAATTACTTTACTTTTATTATGATGATCAAGAGCGATAAATGCAGGCCTACCCACAAAACCAAAGCAAAGAGAAGAGAGGCAGGAGTCATTCTTTGCATAATTACTGGCATTTGTCATCCTTCCCTCGAAAAGGGGATCATCAGTTTTTCTAAGGACTGTTTTCTTTGCTTCAGAGTCTTTTCTTCCGCACTGTTTATCACCCACATTGTCCTCATTTACCCAGCAACACATACTGTACTAATGTATTTTCCATTAGTGAATGTAATGAATTTAATTTTGGTTCAAAATGTTAATTAAAGTGGTGCATTTCATTCTTATAAGGATGAAACTTAAAAAACTCTTGGTTCTCAAGTGTTAGGTGAAATGACTAAAAGCAGAGTCGAAAAATAGGGTTAATCAGTGTGAAATGTAGTATCATGAGCCTGGGATGGATATTGATAATGGATTATAATTAATTTTCCATCTCATTTAAGAAAACAAAGGCTCAAAAATCACGGCTTAAACTGCCTATATTTAGGAGAAATTTTGGAAGAAGAACGTGTGAGAAGAAACCGAAAGGAAGTTTGCCTCAAAGAGAGAAACGCGAAAGAAAAAGCTACCAGACCAGATATTCCATCATCAGAAAATGAATGAGAATTTTATTATTTCTTATCTTAAAAAAATCTGTCCTTTGCCAGATCAAAAAATGCTGCCAACCTGGAAGAAAAAGAATCCGTTTTTCTAAACAACCCCGTTTAGTAATTTCCATGAAATTGACGTTTTAGTACTATGACAAAAAGCCAAATTAAAACTCAGGGGTTTCTAATCCCTAAATTCTGAGTTCGTTTTAAGAAATATCTAAAATACACTTCAAAACGAACCAATTAATATAATTACGGTGGGTTTAAATAACACATACACACTGGATCTGTTTCTGTAAAACACAGCTGTTCTGTTACTTATATTTTGCTATTTTTAAAATTAGAAATGTGGCTTTATATATTATACATATATGTAAAGTAAGTTTTTAAAAAGAATGAATCTGTTGTCTTCTGCTATCATTACATTAAAAAAAAAACCCAACCACCCTACAACCAATTAACTTGGAAATCTTATATTCATGCTTCTGAATATTACTGCGGTTGTAGCAAGGAAAGCAGCACATCCAGGTAGTTAAATGCAACAGAAACAGGGCACAGGCAGCAACTTGCATCCCCTGGCAATTCACATGGTAATTTCTTCGCCTCCACTCTCAAGCTCACTCCACCCCGCTTCACCAACCCCCTTCCCTCTAAGACACGAGGCACCCTCGGGGCCATGGAAGGTGCCCTGCGGGGAGACGCCGGAAGAGCGGGGGCAGAGTGCGCGGTGCCCACACCCTTAGCCACAGGCGGCCGCCGCGGGCCCCCGGAGTGGGGAACGGGCTGGGAGAGCGGGGTTGGGGCGGACCCCAGGGCCGCACCCCGGCCCTCCCACCCCCTTTCTATTGCCATAGACCCAAGAACCCGAAATCTGCGGCACGAGGCGCGGCGCCCGCAGCCCCCGGCTGGGCCCCAGCAGGGATGGGCGGGCAGGGGGCGGAGCGCAGCGCAGCGCGGCGCAGCGCGGGGCGGCGGGAAAGGGGCGGAGAGGATAGCTTAGGCTCTGGCGGTCGGCGGGACTGGCAGAATCTGCGGGCTAGGTGGGTGGCTCGCCAACCTGGACGAAGGGAAATGAGGACCGCGGCTCCCGGGCGCGAGTAGGCGCGTGGAGTCCAGGGGCTTCACCGCCGCACCTCCTTCTCCTCCTGGAGCTGGAGACTGCACAGCGGCGGGCGCACCAGCAGCAGCGACGACCCTGAGCGCAGGTGGGCACCCCCGAGCGCGGCGCTCTGCCCGCTGCCCTGGCCACCGCGGGCCGGCTACCCGCTTTTCCAGGCCACTGCGCTTGGGGGCAAGGGCTGGGCAGGTCCAGGGCCAGAAGGAAGGTGCATGGCCCGGTGATGTGCGCGCTTCTGCGCCTAGGTGGGGGAGAGGTACTGAAAAGCTGCCTCCCGTAGGGTTCACTGTTTCGGTCCCACTGTCCCCACCTCATCCCTTCTGAGGAGCCAAGTACCGGTGGGGCTTTGGAGAACTGAGATCTCCCACCCGGCCCGCAGTATCGGTGGTGTGTGCAGGTTGCCCTTCTCTTCGCAGTCCACACCCAGCAACCGTCAGGACGTCCCCTGCTCCCGGCCCGAAGACTGTAGGGACCTTGGGAGGAGATGGTGGTGGCTGGACGGGTCGGGGCGTGTGCGCGAAAGGCTGGAGTTGCTTGAGTATTGTCTGTCGGGGCCGGGGCTTGCGTCAGGGTGCTCCCGCGCGCTCTCGGGGTTAGGGAATGGATTTGCTGAACTTACTCTGAAGGCTGATTCTGCACATGCCCTTGGCGCCTTGTGCACGTTTGGACGAGGGTTTAATGGAGGCACGTGGGACCAGTATGGTCTCTGGCGGGTTCCCAAAGACCCTCTTGGGATAGTCCAGCGCGTGTTCGGGGTTGAGAGGGAAGGGAGAGTGTTTCGTGTGACTGTCCTTGATTTTCTTGTATTTGCTCCAATTCCGTGAGCCAAATCAGGCTTTCTAGGCGTTAAAGTAAATTACGGGTAAGTGGGGCGGATCTCTGCTGGAGATAAAGAAGCTCCGGGGTTTGCGGGATAGCGGGCCTGGCTGGCGTGCTCGCTCGGTGGCTTTTGGCGCTGTCTCGCCTAGGTAGGTGGAGGTGGTGGTGTTTGTGTCTTTGGCTAAAGGTGCTGGAGCGGGGATTACTTGTTCTTAGATAGACTGGGACTTGGAGGAGGTAAAAAAGCTTCGCGGCGCGGTTTGTTCTTCGCAATTAACTCCGGAATCTCAAGTGTGTGTCTGTCGGTCGGTCTCTCTCTCTCTCTCTCTCACACACACACACGCGCGCGCACGTCTCATGGCTGCTTGGACTTGCTGATAGTTGCTCGTGAATTTTTATTCCTGTTTGTTCCTTTTTTTTTTTCTTTTGGAAAAAAAGGACCTACCTGTATTAAAATCCTTGGGGTTTCAGAAAGACCCTTCCGAAATAATTCATATTCAAATCAAGGGTAGGGCATTCCGATGAAAATACCCCACCAGACTGCCGTTTGGATTGGACTAAATTGTACTTCAGGTTAGAATTAATGTTATTTTAAATAGACATCTTACAACCTGTGGTAAAGTAACCTTCGCCTGAATTTCCCCTGATCTTTCTTTGTGTCAGTTTACAGAATTCTGAATTACCAGATGAACAAAGTGGTGAAGTTTTCTTCTAATTTTAAACGACAGGTCTTGAAATGGCTGTTAAGTTGAGTTCTGCGACTCCATCTCTTCAATGATCCGATCAGAGTGGTGCATAGCAGCTGATGATCCGAGACTTACATGTTTCAATTTCTAGTCAAATTATCATACCGCTGGGGAAAAGGACGCCTTAAAAATTTTCCACACAGAGGAGAAAGAACATTTTTGTCTTTTGGAACAAATATTTTGCTACTTTTTCCCCAAATGTCCGTTAGACGCCTAGAAAAGATGCATTGTTGACGAATAATACATGATTTATTTCTTTTTTGTGTCTACAGGTGGCAGTGTAGAAGCCAAACCGGGAGCTTCCAGAAGTGGCTTCTGAAAGAGTCCAATGTACATGAGTAAGCAAGCACAGGAATCCTAAAAGCCACAGGTATGTAGGACAATTAATCCATCTATCCAACTTTGTAATTACTGCATTCCAGTAGTACTAACCCATTTGCTCTTACGTTCAATATTTTGACACTTACATAAACTTCTATGAAGTTAAATGTATTTTGACGTAACCTCTGAGGAGAAACCGGGTCCAATCTATTTCTAACAATGTATTTAAATAAAAATACTGCGTGTCATTATATTACATGATTTTTCACTGTTCTAAAAGAGTTGTTTTTCCATTGTGACCCTGTGGCTTTGCATTTAACCAGTTTGATATTTGCTTTTCAAAACACTTTTCCTGAAACTATATAAAACTGCCAATTTTCTGACTAATTTCATTTGGGATAATGTTAAAAGAGTCACCTGGATGAATCAATAACAATATCAGCTTAAAAAATTTTTTTTGAGACAGGGTTTGGCTTTGTCACCCAGATGGAGTGCAATGGCACGATCTCAGCTCACTACAACCTCCTGGGCTCAAGTGATCTTCCCACCTCAGCCTCCTGAGTAGCTGGGACTACAGGTGTGCACTAGCACTCCGGGGTCATTTTTGTATTTTTTTGTACAAACAGGGTTCCGCCACATTGTCCAGGCTGGTCTTGAATTCCTGGGCTCAGGTGATCCACCGACCTCGGTCTCCCACCGTGTTAGGACTACAGGCGTGAGCCACTGCACCCATCCCAGTATCAGCTTTTAATAAAACTGCATCTCACTGTTGAATTGAGGTAACACAAATGATGTGACACTGATAGAATACAGATGCATTAGGAGGCTTCTTCTAAGCCAAGCCGTTCTGTTAATAACCCTTGGATGATTTTTCTCCTCCTACCTTGCTGTTTTTACAGGCCCACTAATTTGCCTGCTTGACTAAAATAAGGACCAGTTATGTGCCAATGAGAGACAAGTTTGTAATCTTATTCATTGTGACACAGTTCAAAAGAATTTGCCTTTGATTCTCATTAAAATGTAAACATTTTGCATATTACCATTACCATCTTTTTCAACAGCTGAGCAACTCTTTATGATGAAGGGCAGAAGACGACAAAGGGAAGAAAACGCTTACCTTTGTTGGCTTTTACTTTCTTTCTTGGGAATGGTGGGCCATAGCTATTGGTATTTTCTTTTTCTTTTTTTTTTTTGAGATGGAGTCTTGCTCTGTCACCCAGGCTGGAGTGCAGTGGCACAATATTGGCTCAGTGCAACCTCCGCCTCCTGGGTTCAAGTTATTCCCCTGCCTCAGCCTCCCGAGCGGCTGTATCAACATAAAATTTTTTTTACATTTAACCAGCCTGGTTAAATGCCATCACACCTGATTAATTTTTGTATTTTTAGTAGAGACGGGTTTTTGCCATGTTGGCCAGGCTGGTCTCAAACTCCTGACCTCAGGTGATCCATCCACCTCGGTCTCCCAACGTGTTGGGATTATAGGTGTGAGTCACCGTGCCCAGCTGCTCTTGGTACTTTCACAGAGATGCTAAAGTTATTGTGTTGGCTGTGTTAAGAGTCAGGCATCAAAATGACTGCACAAGAGAATGAAACTGTCTCTTTGTTGGGGATGCAAGGGGTGGGGTGGGTGCACTATTATCACAATGTTGGAATGTGACATTCTGCCTTTACAGCTGAGGAGGGATTTGTTTTGCTCCTTCTAATGAGGGTGTTAAATAAACTTGGATGCTGTTCTTGAAGCTTAAAAAATAAATTAAAACTGGGTGCAGTGGCTCAAGCCTGGAATCCCAGCACTTTGGGAAGCTCAGATTGGAGGATCGCTTGAGCCCGGGAGTTCAAGACCAACCTAGACAACATGGCAACACCCTGTATCTACAAAAAAAATTACAAAAACTAGCCAGGCATGGTGATGTGCACTTGTTGCTATGTGTACCTCTAGTCCCACCCATTCGGGAGGGTGAAGTAGGAGCATCCCTTGAGCCTGGGAGGTCGAGGCTGCAGTGAACCATGATCACACCACTGCACTCCAGCCTGGATGTGACAGTAAGATCCTGTCTCAAAAAAATAAATAAATAAATAAAAGGAAATAAATTTCACACTTAACCAGTAGAAAGCAAATTGGGAGCTCAGACTCAAAGTATAGATTACACTAAATATTGAAGGGTTCTTACTTTAAAGAATGCGTGGATAAGGAGAGGCTTCAGGAAAGCTCTGGAACATTTTGGAACACATAATTTTGCACTGCGTGAGACTTGAATTCATTATCTGACTCGGGAAATTGGGATGTACATATCTAACCCTCCACTTATCTAACAGGAACAGTCTCATCTTCTCAGTCAAAAAGGAAAACCGCAAGATTGATATTTTATTCCTTGTTGCAATTACAGTATACTCGTTGTAGAGCCATTAGGTGCTTTAGAGATATTTGACTTTTGACATGTAACATACATAATCAAGTGTGTAAAAGGTACTGGTCTAAAGTGTACTGCTCGGTGAGAATGACTTGAACCCAGGAAGTGGAGATTGCAGTGAGCTGAGATCGCACCACTGCACTCCAGCCTGGATGACAGAATGAGACTCTGTCTCCAAAAAGAAAAATAAATAAATAAATAAATAAATAAAGTGTATTGCTCAGTGAAATTTTGCATGCGTATATACTATGTGACCATCGCCTGAATCAAGATGTAGATTTCCAGTACTCCAGAAGATTTCCTCTTGCCACTTCCGTTCAGAATTCATCTTACCTCCAATATAAAGGTAACCACGTTGTGATTTTTAAAAACTCCATCTGCTAGTTTTGTCTTATAAGCTCCATATAAATAGTATCTTATAGCAGGAACTCGTGTGTGTCTTTCATCACACATAGGCACTAGAATCTCATAGATGTGGCATAAAGTCTGAGATTCATCCATAAGTTTTTGCATATTAGCAGTTCTAATCTCTTGCTGATAGTCATTCCATGGTATGCATATAGCACAGTTTGTTTCTCCATTTCCCTGTTGGTTCTTTGGATTGTTTTCAGTGGTGCTAATACAAATAAAGCAGCCATGAACATTCTTGCTTGTCTTTTGGTGCACATGTGCAATCATTTCTCTGAACATACACTTAAGGAGTGGAATTGTACGGTCATAGGGTAGATATATATTTAGCTTTAGTAGATCTTGCCAAACAGTTTCCCAAAGTGGTTGTACCCACTTAAATTTCCCCAGTAGTGTTGTATGAGTTTTCCAGTTAGTGACTCTACACTTTAACACTTGGTTTTGTCTGTCTCTTAAATTTTAGCTATTTTGGTAGGTGTACAGTGGTATCTTTCTGTGGGCTTTTAAAAAACATTTTATTCTAATTGTGGGAAAATATGCATATTTAGAATTTACCATCTTAACCTTTTTT